TAGATAGATAGATAGATAGATAGATAGATAGATAGATAGATAGATAGATAGATAGATAGATGATAGATAGATAGATAGATAGATAGATAGATAGATAGATAGATAGATAGATAGATAGATAGATAGATAGATAGAAAGATAGATAGATGATAGATACATAGATAGACAGATAGATAGATAGATAGATAGATAGATAGATAGATAGATAGATAGATAGATAGATAGATAGATAGATGATAGATAGATAGATAGATAGATAGATAGATAGATAGATAGATAGATAGATAGATATTTTGAATTAGATTTTATTTTTATATTTTCAGTTTTCATTGTAATTGTAAAATTGTCGTATGATTTGCTTACACATAATTCATATTTGTACTATTTCTATGTTTATATTTCAGTATTTAATTTTTTCATTTTATACTATTATAGTTTTTCATCACTATTTCAAAATAGGAATATTTAATTTTTATATATTTTTTATTTCTAAAGTTACATTTTTATATCAGTGTTTTTAGTATTATTTATATACTGTTATAGTATTTATTAATATTTTGATAGATAGATAGATAGATAGATAGATAGATAGATAGATAGATAGATAGAATAGAATGATAAATCCATAGATAGATCATAAGTACGGTTCAAACATTTGGGGTCAGTAAGATGTTTTTAAATACAGTAAAATCATAAATATTGTAAAATATTATTCCAATTTAAAATAGCTGTGTGAATATCTATGTGAATATCTGTTAAAGTGTAATTTATTCCTGTGATCAAAACTTAATTTTCAGCATCATTACTCCAGTCTTTAGTGTCACATGATCTTCAGAAATCATTCTAATATGCTGCTCAAGAAACTTTTCTGATTATTATCAATCTTGAAAACAGGTGATATTTTTTGTGGAAACTCTGATGCATTTTAATTTTCAGGATCCTTTGATGAATAGAACGTTCAAAAGAACAGCATTTATTTGAAACAGAAATCTTTTAATGTGTCCTTGATGTATAGAAGTATTAATTTCTTTAAAAAGTGCTGGAGTACTGTCATTATGCTGCCATTTATAAATCTTGATAAAGTCAGTCCACGTTCATTATATGAGAAAGAGCAGCATGAACATTCTGCTAAGCATCTCCATTTGTGTTCCGCAGAAGAATGGAAGTCTATATAAGACATGAATGAGTAAACGATGGCAGAATATTGATTTCAGGCTGATCTTGTTTAATAATGACTCCAGCAGCTCTGCATGCGTTCACTGCTCTTCACCCTGAGCTCAGCTGTGCTGGGCATGATGAGCAGCTCGTAGCACTTCATCAGCGTTTTTCTGTCATTAGAGAAGTGCTTCATGACAGAAGGAGCCGCAGGAGCTCTTCATTCAGAAATCCCGCAGATGGAGCGGCAGGAGCCTGAAGATGCGCTGCTTCTTCAACATATGTGAAGACTGAGTAAGAAACTGAGACGTGTGAACCAGATTTGGGTAGTTTTTGTTTTTGAAGTTGTAAATTATTAACTCTTTCCCCGCCAAACACAGAATTTTTCCGGGTTTCCACGTTCTCACTGTTATACGCTAGGGGGCACTATTACGCATCTACTGAATGAGTCTAGAACATGCCGATCAAAAACACAGGCAAGGAAGACGCAGCAACGATCGATCTCATAAGTATGCATATGAAAAATAATGCGATCATCAACAATAAACAGCATATAAACGAAAACTGCCTAATCTTACCGAGTGAAACGTGGATCCAGGAAGAAGTAAAGGCCTGTGCAAGCTTTAGGAGTGCTGATGGAAGCCATCTACTGCATCTTTGTTTGGATCATCTTACTGAATATGATCCAGATGTTGTGTTTGATAAAAAATGCGACTTTCTCAGGTTTTTGCTCAGAATGTTGCTGTTGATAAAAAAAAAGAAAAGAATGCTTGAAGCTAGAATAAAATGGAACAAACTAAATATTCTGGGGGCCATGAAATTTTAGTGAAAGTCATCAAAAATGCTGGTGGTGGCTGGCAACTTTTGTCAAAATAGCTGGCGGGGAAAGAGTTAAGGTTATTGGAGTGTGTTTTACAAGAAAACTATTTCAGCTTTTCAACTTCAAAATTACTTGACGTTTCATTGTAATAAAAAACATGTCCTGCTCAAAATAAAGAAATTAAATTAAAATTTTAAATATATATATATATATATATATGAAAGGGCTATTTTGCTTAAAATATTTTTAAAAACTTATTTTTAAATTATTACATATTTTTTTAATTTCAAAACATTTTCTGTGTTCTATTTTTAGATTTTGTTATTTGAGTGTTATTTTAGTATTAATTGTAGAAGATGTATAGTATATACTATTTTTAAATATTTTTAAATTAGCTTTAATTTTAATATATTCACTTTTCATTCTAATTTTAAAGTATTAGTAAGATTTTTACAAATATTTAATATTTTAATTTTTTTCTATTTTTATTTCACTGTTATTTAAGTATTGATGATATTCTGTTATATATTTACTTATATTCTGAATTAGTTTTTATATTTCCAGTTTTCTTTAAATTTTTTAATTAAAAGAATTAAATTGTTTTTATTTTTAATTGTTTTTTAAATATTTGTATTATGTCTATTTTTATATCAGTGTTATTTTACCGTTATTTTTATACTATTCCAAGTATTTATTAATATTTTGTATTAGCTTTTTTTATATTTTCGGGGTTTAATTTAAAATTTTTAGAAAGATTTTTTTCTTTCAAATATTTAATATTTTTATCATTTATATTTTTATATCAGCGGTATTTTAGAATTATTCATGTACTATTATAGTGCTTATGAATACGTTTAATTCATTTTTATATTTGTGTTTTCAGTTTTCATTTTAATATTCTAGATTTTTACATTTTCTGAAGAAAACATGAGTTGCTATGTGGCTGCTGTTCAATAAAGGCTGCTTAATAAAAAGGGCTCCCAAAAAAGTCTGTGATCTTCTGAGCGAATGTATTGAATGTGGAAGAAGCTCAGATCCTTTGATGAAGTATTCGATGAGTTCATATTTTCATCAGCAGAAACATCTGGTTCCTCAGAGAAGCAGTTAAGATCTTAAAGAGATTTGGTGCGAGATTTCTCTCTCCTGCAGGTTTTTAGTTCTATAGATGATGCTGTTCATCAGCATGATGCTCTTCTCCTGTTTAGAGCAGCTGAATGGATCTGTCAGCTGTTTTCTCACTCATTTCATCATCATTAGAAGCTGTTTTAGACGTTCTCCTGGCGTTTTTCTCAAACCATCAAACATCATCTGCCACACAACAGATTTCACTGGAACGCATCTCATTTCTCATTTCTCTTCAACAGTTGCGTCTTATTAACTGGATCCGAACATCAGCCAAATATCAGTCTGAACATCCATCAAACGTGTGTTTGTGTTTCCAGCTCCGACTCGAGTGCTCTTCTCGTTCGACGTGGGGAACGGTCCTCTGGAGGTGAAGGTGGAGACGCCGGCGGCTCTGAACGACGAGCGCTGGCATCACGTGAGAGCCGAGAGGAACGTGAAGGAGGCCTCGCTGTATGTGGACCATCATCCCGGCGTCGTTCAGAAAGCCCCCGCTGACGGACACATTCATCTGCAGCTCAACAGCCAGCTGTTTGTAGGTAGGAGAGCATTTCACAGATCAATGATGTCTGTTCATCCTCAGAAGTCACAGCGCTGATATCATGCTTTAGATGGGCATTATTTGTGACCCTGGAGCACAAAACCAGTCATAAGGGTCAATTTTTGGAAATTGAGATTTCTACACCATCTGAAAACTGAATAAATAAGCTTTCCATTGATGTAAGGTTTGTTAGGATCGGACAATATTTGGCTGAGATACAACTATTTGAAAATCTGGAATCTGAGGGAGCAAAAAAATCTAAATATTGAGAAAATCATCTTTAAAGTTGTTCAAATGAAGTTCTTAGCAATGCATATTACTAATCAATAATTAAGTTTTTATATATTTACAGTAGGACATTTACAAAATATCTTCATGGAACATGATCTTTACTTAATATCCTAATGATTTTTGGCATAAAAGAAAAATCAATCATTTTGACCCATACAATGTATTGTTGGCTATTGCTACAAATATACCCCAGCGACTTAACACTGCTTCTGTGCTCCAGGCTCACATTTGTCCCTTTTGTGTGAATCTCACAAAGAAGAACTGTGTCATATTCCAAAATCAAATAATCAAATAGGACATTTTGCTTAAAAATATTTTAAAAAATTTTACTAAATACAAATAAAAAAGGAGAATTTGCTTTCAAATATTGTATATTTTTTAATTATTTTTTCCTTTTTTATATTTTTTATTTCTACTTCAGTTTTATTGTAGTATTATTTATATACTATTTTAACAGTATATAACAGCTTTCAAAGATTTTATATTTTTATGTCTATTTTAATTTTTTTTACTATTATAGTATTTATTAATTTATTACGATTAAAGGGGACTTTTTGCTTAGAAATATTTTATATTTTTATTTCTAATTAATATTTTTATGTTTCAATTTCAGTGTTATTTTAGTATTATTTATGTACTATTATAGTATTTAGCAGTATTTTGAATTGACTTTTATTTTGACATTTTCATTTTTAGTTTTAATCATGTTGTGCTTTTGTCATTTTTATTGGTGTTTGTGTTTTTAATATTTACTTAATTTATTTTATTCCAGCTGTACTTTTAGTCATGTTAGTACTTTAACTTGTTTCAGTTAATTTCTAAAAAAATATTTCTCTTTTTTCTTTAGGTTTTTTTTAATCTAATATTTATATTTTATTTTAGCTTTATTTCAATTACCAAATTAGTTTTACTTTTAGTTAAAAATAAAACTACTCTTATATATATCATATTATATTATTTTGTCTTTACATATTTTAAAACTATA